TAGTAGCATGAACGTCCACCCCCCGTGTGACCAATAGTAGTTGTTATGCGGGAGACAGGGATAAGGAGGGGCTGTGCAGCGGCCGAGTGGACGGCCAATGAGTGGTGTGCTCTCATCTACGGCATTTGCATGAGATGATGCAGAGCTGGAAGCTCATTGTATAGCTGTTGGGTAGCGGAGACGAACGGGTAGGTACTGGAGCAGCTGGCTGTCGCTACTTCGTTGATATCGCCCAGGGCATTTTGCGTTCAGCGGATGCGCAAACAATGAGTGCGGCACTGATATTGTTTTGAGCTGGCTACGTCGTGTGAAGGTGTTTGGAGCACGTTTCCATAACGACCAGAGGCAGGCGTGATAGATGGCAACTCGGTGTGCGTGCGGAATATATATTCTATGTGTTGCGAGCGTTCGCGTCTCGTTGGCTTTTGATCAAGACCCGGTTCGACAGGGATTCCGTCTGCAGCCAGCTAGATCGTTTTGTACTTGGCGTTAAGCTTGCTTGTTTGGTTTACGCGGTGTGTCTGAAGCCAGCTTTCCGCGCTGATGTGGGTGTTCGCAGTATCGGTGGGAGGGCCAGCGGATGCTCAGGTGCGAGCGTCCAGGAGTTGATGTTTGCGTGCACGCGCGTCCACGGCACCCGTGGCGCCAAGCTTTCTCCGGCCCTATGATAGCGAGCTGTATTGCGCAGCTGGTGCGTCTTTCACAACGCAATCGCATCTGCTCGGCGCAGTCGTGTGAACTGTTCCGCGTTATGCAGTTTGGTGGCACGCATGAATGCGTATGTGTTTGGGTGCATATGTGTGGAGCTGCAGTGTGGGAAGGAGTCGGAGCTCGTTTTGGTTCATTGTGGGGCTTGTGCGACGCCAAATGGGCGGGGTGGTTGGGCGTTACGATGCGCGCTCGCGAGGCGGCAAAGTCAGGGAGGAAAAACGGTCTGAGGGAACCGGAGACGGAGTGCGTGTGCAGTGCAAAAGGTGGCTTGCCGGAAGTGCGATTGAGCGGTGGTTTGTGCCAAATGCGAAAACGTAGTGTCGGCCAGCGCGTTTGCTGGTAATGTATGGGCGGGTCCGGAGAGTGCGCCGTTGGAGGGAAGCCGGTTTGCTCGGCTCGGTCATGTTTATAGCCGAGTTCCGGTTGCGCTGCTACACGCATGAATATGCTTGTGAATGCGTGCAAATGTTTGGAGTTGCAGTATAAGAACTGAGAGTCGGTTTTGCTGTCCCTGTGCTTTTCAGTGGTAGTGGCGCATTACAATGAGGCGTTTGACGACGCAGTATCCGTTGCCATACACAGTCTGGCATTGCAAGCGCCCTACGTGAATTGGTGAGGCAGCAAA